CAATGATTCTGCGTATGTTTTTTAATGAATGAACTGTAATTTGCTGCATTTATTACTACGTTAGAGAGGATTTTCTTCTTTGAAGTTTAGGGTACACTATATAACTATATATTTAAAGGCAGGCTAACTCTTATTTTGCTATTCCTTGAAAGCTCCGTATGACAGCATTTTCTAGCTATAGTATTAATAGTATCTTTTCTAGAAATCTGGAGCACGGCTGAACAAATAATTTGGAGTACAGCCAGCAAAATTATGCCTAATTTTTTTTTCCAAATAAAATTTTTATATCATTAAAAAAATAGAGAAAATTACTTGAAAAAAAGTGGATTTTAATAACACATAATAAATGAAAATTCTGTGTCTCCTTGTGATATGCTGCTATCTACTGTTTAAAAAGAAAAGTTCAAAGTATATTATAAAGGCATTTTTATCTATGTACGGTGGAATTTAAAGGTTTCTGAAGCGATTCAATTTGGGTGTTCCATGTAGTGGAATACTGAGCCACAAAGGGTTAAAAAGGTCCTTAGTATTTAATTATAAATCTTCTTAAAAAAGGTTTTTAAACTTGGCCTTAAAACTGTTAACATTGTACTAAAATTAGAAAGCTGTTTTAGCAAACAACATATCAAATATGATCCAGCGCCCACAAGAGTTGCCGCCTGGGGCAAGAACCCCAGCTTGCCCCCCGCTAGATCCAGGACTGCACTAGGGCATACTACCTGCCATTTGATTTCTTTCAGCCATAGAAACATGAATATACTGCTACTTCCCATTAGCATTTAAATTAACCTCCTCTAATCCTTCAAATTGCTTTCATGTTCAACATCTGATCTGCCTAATTAGCATATGTTCGGACAGTCAATCCTGATTAGCTGCAACATAAAATATTTGCATCCATAGCGGTTTTTAGCCACTCAAATTCGACTATGCTTTCAAAAATTCCTAATTTGCATTGCATATTTAACTTTTGAAAGCCTAGTGTATAATTTTCAAATGTTCTCTATACCTGTATAACCTTTAAATATACAGTACAAAGTCTGAAAACCGGATGTCCATTATCCAGAATGATCTAATATCCGGACCTTAAAGCCACGATTTTTTTTTTTTGGTATGCTTTACGCATGCACATTTGATTTTTCCTTCCATAATAAAACATATAGAAATCTCTCTATTTCCATATGTTTTATTATGATATATGTTATGATTATTTCCATAATCATTAATACAGATTAAACATAAAACATATGGAAATATGGAGATTTTCACTTAAAAATTCCGATTCTTAATCTCACTTAGGCACTAAATAAAATGCCTCACTATAAAAAATAATCATGTAAGCATAAATTTGTGAGATTAATAATTTGGCTCTGTAGCTGAGTATCTACTTAGCATACATCTCAGACCAAAACATTCACTTATTTTATATCCCTGACACCGACCTGGCGAGTCATTATTTATTATATTTTGCTTTCATCACCATATATTTGTCAATACATGACAGCTTCAGTAATAACTCATGCAGTGATGTCTTAACTTTTTTTATATCAGTAATTAAATAACAAGAGTATGGCAACCTTTTATGCTAACATTACGTTTGGCGATGATTATAGATTTTTAAATGCTCTAAGAAATGTTGACGAGGAAAAATTTAAAAAAATTTCTTTTCATATGCTAAAAATAGATTTTGTTAATGAAACTCATTGGACAAAAGATTACATTTATTGCTATTTTAATTAAGAAAGCTGATATGTTATTCACCATAAACCCAGAAGCAGCGGCAGAATATGTCAGCACCAGACAGCAGAATTTAGGGAAGACAACATTTTTGGAATTTGTGAAGCACCGAGCGACAAAACTAAGGGATTGAGAAGTTTTTTATGATTTAGGGAAAGCACTGGGATCTAAAGTTTAGGAACGGTGAAAATTTAGAACTTAGGAATGCGCTTTAGAATTACTCAGAACGCGTAGCAGAATTTAGGACCCGTAGAGATTGCACCAGGCGGTATTTAGTACCGGCCCTAGATAAAGCGTTAAGTATATGTGGCAGTTTATTTATTCACGATTCAGATTACCGTAATTTCCAGAAGAAAGGCCGCATCAGCGTAAATGCCGCACTCGAGAAAAATGGCAGGAAAAAAATTAAAATTACATAGAAACGCCGCAATAGATTAAATTGCACTACTTGTCGTGGGCCGTATAGATGCAAAAACTCAACCTAAGTCCTGATATGTGACATACCAGTTAACCCGCGAGCACACGCGGCGGGTATGTCATATCCATGTGCATTTTTCTTTTTGTATATTTCTCGCCCATTCTTTCATAAAAGGACGATACTTGGTGTAGCTGAGTTCAAGGTCACATACTTAAATGGGGGAAATTCCTGAGGCGGCAAGTGCAACGGTTTTTTAGAACCAGAATTGTTCGGGCATGTCATACCCGCGCGTGTACTGGCGTTTCTCAGTGAGTCACTTCGCACTTCTCGTTTTCAAGCTTTTAGTATAAGTTTTTCTTGAGTTGTAAGCATGGCGCCGTATATTCCTTACGATGAAGAGATGAAAAGATTGAGAAATCTCAAAACAGTTTCTTCTGATGAGGATTCATTTAGTGAAGAAGAGGAAGATGTTGATGACGAAGAATATAATTAGTAATCATGATTCATCCATATAGAGTAGTGATTCAGATACAGAAACAGAAAATGAAACTCTGGAATGTAGCAATGAGTTTTATGTTGGAAAAAATGGAGTAAAATGGAACAAAAATAAATTCCGGACTAATGTTAGAATTGGCGCCAAAAATATTATAACTAAACTCCCTGGAAATACAAAGTATTCTAAAGACGTCTCAACACCTCTAGAGTCCTTGTCATTGCTTATCGATGAAGATATGTTAAAACATGTAGTTGATAATACAAATATTTATATTGATTCAATACGAGAAAATTTCACTCGTGAACGGGATGAGTACTTTTCTCAAAGCCTTAGGGATGCAGCTAATAGAAAATGTTCAAAATGAACGACGACGAGCATCTGTGGTTCCTGATTCTGGACGAACACTGACCACCGATGAACATGTTAACAATGGACCGCCCTCCAAAAAACCTAAAATGACTTACAAGAGGTGTACAGAGTGCTCCAAGAAAAAAGATAGAAAGACTAGATTCATTTGTGAAAATTGTAGCAAAAGTATATGTATGGAACATATGACCTCATTTTGTAAACAATGTTCAAAAAAATTGTAAGTAAATAATTTTTCCTCTCCTTATTGTTTCCTATTTTGTCTAAAATGAAGTATTAACTTGGTTTTACATTTTAATTTCTTTTAAAAAACCGATTAATTTTTTTCGGCAAATTTTTAATTACAATTTTTTAATTCGGGTATGACATACCCGGCGCGTGTTATCGTGTATCGTCGGGCGTTGTCGCGGTTAAGAAAATGCATGAATGAAACCATAACTCAAAATAAATTAAGGTAAGAAATAGGTTCTGTGCGTTGAGACATTTCAAAATTTTCCGCTCCTTCTTACTAAAAAACATCAACCGTACTTGACCCAAACTAATGTGATCTCTATTTGGCAGTATGCCAAGAAAAATCCATTCATGCTAAAGGAGAAATACGGCACAGCACCAGTCTATGCACAATGACAAGGCAATCCAAACTATGGACAATGACCATCATAGGAAATATTTTATTTTCAGTGCACCTAAACGCCGCACCCGCTGAAAATTTAAGTTTTAAACACGTAAACGCCGTGCCGTTTCTTCTGGAAATTACGGTAGTTTTAAGCATGTGCAAGAAATAAACATAGGTATAGTAAATAACTAAACTAATATAATTCAGGCTTAATTCAGTACGCAATAGGAGCAAGGCAAAATTTAGCAAAACAACTTTGCTTTCATCACCAATCTTGCGATACACAGCCAATAATGTATAACAAACGCTATTAAGCTAAACTAAAAGTATCTTTACTAATTCTAAAGCATTTCAGTTAATGTAGCAGACTGCGCTGCACCCTAATCTTCTAATTTGTTCCAGCTTATTATTTTTAGCAGACTGTTATTTATAAAATTTTATCAAAAACTAAGCTTGAAGTTTTGATTATGTCAAAAAGAGTTTTCAATTGTGGAGTTGCCAAAACGATCTACAATCCATCTCAAAATTATGCAAGGAGTATGGCATTGGAAAGTCAACTATATATGACAAAAGAAAAAAGAAAAAGGAATTTTTAAAATTTTTTTGTGAAAGCAACTTAAACAACTTACATTAAAAGAAATGTTTAATAAAGTAAACAAATAAATATTAAGCTTTTTATTTTTTGTAAATTTTGATACCCCTTAGATCATAATTGTTCTTTATTTCATAAATTCCGATTTCATATTTTTAATTGTATTATTTCTGCATGCCTTCTTACCAGATTTAAATTGATGATCTAATATCCGAAAAAATCCCAAATCTGGAATCGCCGAAGTCTCAACGAGTCCGAATTTCGGACTTTGTACCGTATAACCTTCAATGTATATTACTCCACCTTTCAAATGTGTTTTAACTGACATTAGATTAAAACATGATTTTGAGGTAACTGTGAATATTATACTTTATTAATTGAGAGCTGATCGTACTTTCAATAACCTAAATGTAGAGCTTATTCAAAGTAATAATCCCTTTAATGCAATCTATCATTTTAATTTCTAATGCATCTATCTAATTTTATTTTAAACTCAAAAAGTTATTAAACTGAAATTAAGAGATGCATGATTAAAATCACTTAGATCTTGGAACTAAACTACAGTAACAAGATAAATCAATATCTTTTTAATTAGCATGAAAATCTATTTTAAAAACGGGTACTTACTTAAACAATCAGAATTTTAATTTTTTGTATAAACTTCCATATACTTGGGAGAAAATTATTTTTAAACGAGTTGCTCAAACTAAGAAAGCTATATGTAAATATCTTGAACATAAACATACATAAATAATACCTTGAAAACATAAATAAATACCTTGAAAAAGGGATTGTCATCACCACATTGTCTTCGGAGGGATTCAGATTTTGGTTTATTCAGGCAATAAATGCTGTAAAGTTTATGGAAGGATTCACTCTGAGGGAAGAAAGAAAATTAATTCATAAATTGCAATGAAATATTTTTTAAATGATAGATAACTGTGAAGTACATAAAATCAATATTCTATTGTCACATTTTTCTCACACTTAAATCATTCTGAAGAATGACCAAATGGATGGGGGATCCTAAAGGGTTATTTTCTCATAATGTGAAAAAAAATTCTGGTTCAAAAAGTTGATGATGATGATGCCAAATTTGCTGAGGAAGCATTAATTGACATATACTTTTAAGATTTCCATCATGCATATACAGTGCAAAAACTGTTTCAGCTTTGAAAGGATATAAATTTAATGCTGAAAAACCTTGCTCAATTTTTTGCCACAATTTCATAAGCTCATAACATTTTTATGGTACTGATTTGAATTACAAGCATTTAATATGCACATCATCCATCAAACAGAAATGTTGCTGCAATTCCAACAACAAAAGTTGTGTAATGTACCCGGCTGAGTACTGGTTGGGTAAATGTGTTCTAGAAAATTGCTCAGCATTATGGATAGTGGAGACACATGCATTTGGTCCTTCATAAATTCCACAGAATAAAATCTCAGTGAAGTCACCTGATCCGCATCTTCCTCCAAAATGGAAAATTAGCCAGAACAGCCTTTACAACCTGTTTTTTACGAATGCAACAACCTGTCACAAATGCAACCTGCCTCACTAAATATTTTAAACCACTTCAAAACTGATTAAAGTTTTATTACAGCACTTGTTGCACACTAATAACAGTGCCTGTTCCTGCAAATGATAATTTGTACCAGCTTCAATGCTGTGGAGAGGATGACATTTTTGCTATCAATGCCTTCTAGTGGTACAAATTATGCCTGGTGATTCTCAGAAGGAGAGAAAAGAAAAATTTTTGAGTTAACTGTGGATATCACATTTATCAACTTATTTGAATAATTTTATTTTATGTTACCTTGGAATCAAGGTTTGTTTTTGCACTAACCTGTATGCAGTACCTTTGATTCTGTTCTCATACTAATTTTTAGATTCACAGAATTTGAAAATGTTCTATTAACTTTCTAATTTAAAATGCACAAACAGAGTTAGGCTAAATGAATTTTACTTCACTAAAGGTCTACTTTTTGTACTAATTCAGTGCTTTAAATGGGGTAAGAAGTCGCAATCTTCTTTGCAATTTTGTGATAGTGTTTTTTTCATTTTTTTAACAAATTTTCCGTATATTTTGTATACTTTCTATATATTTTTCATTAAACTTTTTCAATGTATTATTTGTTTAGTATTTTCACACTCTATTAAATACAGTTATGTTTGGCTTATACTATGATGTGATCATTGTCAATCTTTTGAATATTTATTCAGTTATGTTTTAATTTACCAATAATAAATGTAATTTTCTCTTTTAGTATTATGTATCTACATCATTGAAATGTATAATGGTAAGCTCCTAAATGCTTACAATTTTTTTTAAATCACATAAATGATAAATTTAAATGTGACCATAGATATATGAAAAAGTATTTAAATAAATAAAAAGATATAATTATTTTCCTGCAAAATAATTGAGGAAAAACTTTAATGTAACACACAGTGGCAATTCTAAATTAGGGGTTCTCAAACAGTGGAGAATTTGAAGTTTCAGGGCAATGAGGTCAGCCCTTTTATTTACCTTTAATTACTTAATTTTAGATTATGAATATATATAAACTACTTTTGTTCAAGTTTTAGTATTTATCAATATAATTTATCAATATAATATTTATCAATATAATCAATATAAATATCAAGTAATTGAAATTTAAATGATGGATTGGATTATTTAATTATGGCAAAGCACACGAGGGCTATATGCCTGGTAATTTAAATAAATGCATATGTATTTATTTTTCGAGCTTTGGAATGGAGGGGGGGTAGATCATCTAGCAATGGTGAAAGGAGCAGAAAAAGGTTCAGAACCACTGCTCTAAATCATCTGAGATGTCTACATGATACTTTTCGACAACATATTTCCAACCAATCTAAAAAAGAATATGTTTAAAATGAATTTTATATGAATTAACCGAACTATGAAAGTAAAAACTTAATTAGCATTATATCATATAAGTAAATTTTTATATGACAATAATGGAAAAATTTACAGTAACTCCTTACTCTTTGAACAAAGCACCTTCCAACAAGTTCAGGTGTACTACTGCAGCTCTCAAGATCTTTTAAAAAAGTGCTACAAAATTAAAAAAAGAATTTTAGCATACAAATTTGTAAATTCATTAAAAATTTTAAATTATTACTTATTTTTAAATATTACATCATCTGATCAGAAAGTATTCCCTCCCAGATGAAGCCAAATCAGTCATAGAAAAGGCATTCTTCATAGTTAATACTCTTTTTACAAAATTAGCAATTCATACAGGAACAGGATTTTCATTGAAACTTTATTCGCAACTTTCAAATTATTAACTTTATAAAAATGAATTATTTTCTGTTTAATAACATAAGAATAAATGTAATTACTTTAATTCATTTTGGTACAAAGTATGATATATCACAATCCTGAGTTATAGTCAAATTAGACTACATAACAGTCAAGCTAGGTTACATAACAATCGAGTTAGGTTATGGAAAAGCATTCAGGGACCTTAGAAAGATGCATTAACCTAGAACTTTGAAAAGAAACTGGCATATAAATGCTACATAAAGTCAAGAAAAAATAATAGCTCATTTAATTATTGAGAACAGTAGCCATTCATAATAAACTAATAGCTTTCAGTGAGTTTTTTTTTTTTTTTTTTCTGTATGTCTACCAATGAGCAATTTTCATGAAAAAAAATGTATACATTAACCTTACCTTAGCATTAAAACCTTAGGCAAATTGGACTAATTAAAGGGCTCCATATGTGCTGAATCTTCCTTTATGATGCACCATATGGACAACTAGTCATGCATGCTTTGATTATTGGCACTGAAATGTACCAAAGACTGAGAAAAAGTTGGTTAAGGAAGCGTAATACTGCAGGCATGGTTTTACAGGGTAACACTTAGTCCAATCACTTAAATGCAGAAAATTTTGACTTCTACTGTACATAAGCATCACTGTTAAACATAACTATCCTTTTGTGGCAACAATCTTCTGGAAATTCTTTATTCAAAAAGAAGCACATTACCTGAACTGTTAAAAAATAATTCATTCATTAGCAAATGATGCATGCAGACGCTCAATAAAGGAACATGCCAATTATTGTACCAACTGAACTATGGGATACAACAATAAGGCCAGTGTGAGACAGAAGTTACAGGATTTGTAAACAATAATTTGACATCCTATACACAAAACAATTTGAGAAATCCTGAAGCTCATAAGGTAAAAACTGCTGTACAATAAATAGAAGGTCATACATCGTTGAAAAAATTATATTTTATCTCTTCAGTGTACTAGCAAATAATAAATTCCCTAGACTGAAATAATACAAATTCTAAGATGATAATTAAAACAGCTAGAAGACTTTAATATAATACACTGAGTTTGATTTACTTCAGTGTATCAGCTATTCATTAGATCTATAAAAATAGTATCTTACTTGCAGTGAAAGAAATAAATATCCTCCATATTTCCAAATAGGACATCTTTCTGATCAAAAAGAATAGATGGAACTATGTCTTTCATGGCAGGATTATCGATTTGTTTCATATAACCCTACAAAAAAGTTAAAAAAGTACATGCAGCATTAAAGGCAGTTTTATCTTGAATATACATATGCATATTTGATAGGAAGTTAGTTTGCTACCCTTGAAAAGTAAACTAATTTCTGGTCAATGATGATAATTACTTAGTTCATTGGTTACATTTTCACTTTTAATGATTTCATTTTAATAATTTCATTTTAAATATGCTCAAGAGTTAATTCAATTCATAAAATTCTAACTATTGTTTTCAAAGCAGGTAATATATTAAATAATCTACTAGAAAATAAATTATTATTTTATTACTTTGCCGCTTTAGTGCAAGTATTCGGCAATTTCTTACTTATAATTAACTTATTTACTTAAAACTTTACTTGAAAATTAAATTTACTCTTGTAAGAATTATATATTATGATTTGAAGATTGACAGACCCAGCAATTTCTTACTGATTTTTAATTCGCACTATGGATAATTTGTAACTCAATCTTACTTAACAGCTTTTGTCTTGATTCTTATTTGAGAAAAAGATGAAACGCTTTAGTTTCTATTAATTATAGTAAACTGATAAGAAGTTAGTTTGTTCCTCTCGAAAAGTCAACTAATTTCCAATGGCAATAATTACTTAGTTTGTTGGTTACATTTTCGCTTTCAACTATTTCATTTTAATAATTCTGTTTTAAATATGCTCAAGAGTTAATTCAATTCATAGAATTCTAATTATTGTTTTCAAAAGAGATAATATATTAAATAACCTACTAGAATATATATATAAGAAAAAATATGTAAAAGATTAAATTAGCAGCGTAAATTAATTTCCCTTTTCTATTCTAAAAATAGTAATCTCTCTGCACTGCGTCATTTCGAGATAAATCCATGTCATACGACTCTTACATAATTCTGGTGATGAAAATGGAACTAAAACTCAAACAGCCAATAATAATTTTACAGCAGTACTAATTACCCAATCAAAATACATTGAGAACCAAAACTAAGTCTGAATTAAGATTTCACCCTAAACATAATGCACTTGCTTTCTATGCTTTGGCCTAGCTGGACAGCAGTCTGTCTGCTCCTTCTTTTGTACTGCAAATTTATTAAAAATGTAAACTTTTTGGAATAGGCACCAAATAATGTGTGAACTTGTTTGTGGTTGCAACATGTTTGCTGAGTAAGTTGAATTAAATCTACCTCGACTGCCAAATTTCTTATTAATTGTGGATTGGAGTATCTCTAAGCCATCAAAATTCCTGTTGTTTATTACTTCTTAGTTTGTTTCTATTACATGTCTGTCTTCAAGTGACATCTTTCTAACTATGCAGAAAAGCTTCTTCAAGTTATAATGCAGAGAACCATCGTCAATATGTTGCAATTTTCTTTCACCAAGTCATCTTATTACATATATATATATTAAGATTTGAAGGGGGAGAAAAGAAGACTTACATCTAATATACTGCTTAATTCTGCAACATATGTCTTTTCTGTTTCTATTAACTCAGTCATGACATGGCTGGGGGAAAAAAAAAAAAAAAAAAAAAAAGGTATAAGAAATTTTTTCTTAAAAATATTAGTAATGTAACAAGAAACTTTTATAAAAATCTAATAGAAATATACTAAGAATGAGAATAAAAAGCAGAATTTTTGACAATCTCACAAGGATGAAATAATGTAAGAAAGTGCTGTTTTATGTATTTTAATGCTAAAAAGCACTAAATGGTAAACAAATTATATAAAGAGAGATAATTGTTTAATTATGAATTGCATTTTTAATCTCAACTTGCTAGATAAACTTATTAAAATCAGCATCCAATTAATTGGGGTAATATGAAGGATAATTTCTATGGTTAAATCAAAATCACCGTTAACCTGAGTGTAATTAAAAAGACACAGGAAAGAGGAATAAACCATACTGTAATTAAAAGATAAATAATACTAACTACTTACTTATATTTTCAAACAGTTTAATCTGGAGAATAAGTTTGTTCAATTACATAAATTAAATTATTATACAAAATTCTCACCAGTACATAAATGCACTCTTTCTCTTGTTTTGTCTCTTCCTGCATCTATCTATATTTATCTTCATTTCATGATGCACATGTCAGTTATTTTAGTTTACATACTCTTGTACTTTGATAGAAGACAATGTAAAAAAGAAGATTAACGGCTATATGTCCAATTTGTTTTTCAGATACAGCAATTTACTTTTAATGGATGATCTAATAATGCTTATACATTCCAGATTATGTATAATTACATTACATACTATAAAAACAATTCCCAAATACTATGACATCATCTGTTATCAATGCCCTAATCCCATGCAATTTTCTTTTATTTCCTTAGAGAATTTCATTTTATGCTGGTAGTCTGTAATACTAATTTTTAATTGTTCCATAGTAAACAAACTTTTGTTCTTTGGCAGGTCCTAGTTAAACCACACTATGGTGACCCGCCAGGAGTAACTGAGAATTGACTGTATATGTCTTTTCCAAGAATGTAACATTATTACAAATGTCAAGAACTTGGTCTAGCTTTATTTACATAACAACTGCAGATTATATTTAGGTTGTACAGAAATGAATGGCACAAATACTTCCACAGAGCAGAATACAATTTATTAACAAAAAACTGATAGTACATCAGTCAGAAATAATCCCCACTCATAATGCCCCCCCCTGCCATCTGGCTGGGAGATCCCGAAAGCACTTTGGTAAAAACCAGTTGGTGGGGGAGTTGGTGCACCAACTATGGACAACTGCATGAAATTCTACAGAAGATTCAACATGTTGCCCTCTGACTGTGTCCTTCATGTTGTCAAGCAAGGGCGTAGTCCAAGGTCTTGGTTCGAGGTCCGAGGTAAACCCATTTCGCACACACATTTTTCATCTCCAAATCACCATGCAATGTTCCTTGCACAAACCCTATCTCTTCCTGCATATTATTGAATGTTATGTGCCTATTCGCGATGATCAAATCTGACACAGCTGCCACATTTACTGCTGTATGCGATGTTGCTGGTCATCCCGTGCTGATAACTTTGGCTGCGGCCTCCACTACACTGCTGAATGTGGCTAACTAACGGGATACGGTACGCCTTGAGGGTGCTTTGTTTTCACACACAGACACCATGCGACAATGGATCTCACTACCTTGTATCCCTTCCTTCCATAGGAATCTCGCTGTCCAACGCAGACTGTGATAATCACCTTCCATTATTGCTGCTCATGCTCTCCATGACGACGGTAAAAGGAACAGGCGCTGAATTATACCGTTCACTTATGGCCAGCTCCATCTATGCATTCTGAGTAGCTTATGCCCCCTTGTGTCTATTTCACTTGTTTTCCCTTCACATAGTGTAACAGTTTTATTGTGAGAGCTGTTGTGTCAATCATTTATGTATGATGCAAGTATTTAGCAATCTCTTTGTAACTCTATATTTTTATGCTTGAATACATGGCAGATACACTCCTTTTACTTTACTGACAATTGCTTTGACATCTGAATATCAATAATTTCTTTTCAGATTGTTGCCAGTTTAATAAATTTTTTGAAACCTAAAATACATTTTTAATCTTAAGTTCTTTGAAAGAAATCTTTGGTAAAGACAATATATCATTAAATCTAATTTTACTAATTGGTCAGTTTCATTTACATAATAAGCAATGTGGACTGCTATGAAATATACAAAAGAACTTATTTCATAATGATTAATTTCCATTTTTTACAGATAATATAAATATTACATGATTTCCTATTGCATTTTTAAAGATTTCATAATTGTTTAAGATCTAGTTATGGAAAACTATAATAAAAATCATATTTAGAGATAACAGCTAAAATATTTCCATTTTTTTCAACTACAGAATTAATAAAGTACGTTAAAACTTTTTTTAAATGTGTGGGTATATTTAAAAATAAAGCACATGTATTGCAGATATTCTTATTCATTTTTTTAACTGTTTCACTGACTTCTGTACAATGAATATTCTTTTGACATAAAAATTTGTTCAATATTTACATATGTGTTATAATTACCTTATAAATGAAATCTGAATTGAATTTTAGTTATGTTATTTGATGTAACAATGACCATAAAATTCAAGAAGCATATAGCTCTTTCAGGAAAAAAAAATTTCTTACCCTTGTTTCAGTTTTAACAGATCTGCACTATTTCTTTGAGCAGGTGTGCTTTCTGCAGTTTCAATTGGTCGAAAGTAATTAGATTCATCCTCATTTTCTTCAAAACATATTTCAATTGTTGTCTAGAATAAATCGATTATTAAATTAATAAAGAGTTGCATTTCTTAATTGTTTTATTATTTAATAAAATTACATGTTAAAAAGTTTAAAAACATGAAAGCTATAAATACATTAATCTTTTCTTTGTTATATGCAAAAGCTTTCCTAAACAGGGAATAATAAAACGTTTGATGCAGAAAAAAAAATAAAAAAACTACTGTATAATGCAACAGGAAAATTTTCAGAAAACATAATATAATGCTATCCAAGCTCATAGAGTATATCTCTAAAATTTGGGCATAGAAGGCCCACTGATGGCCTTCAGACCCATAGCAGCCTGAAGAAAGATTAATAAAATTTATTATTATTATTATCGACTGTAAACTTCCTGAGGTGTACATGTTTCCATATTTTGGGCCATTTCAGGCTTGTTAAAAATATCACTTAGAATTGATTTTACTGAATTTGCTGCTTTGGTATGTATTCTACATTTATACACTCACTTCCAAAAGTTAAGCACAAAGATGTAAAATGCAAAAATATCACCAAATACTGCTTTGATTGACACAAAACTTGGCAGGAAAGTAACATATATATTTATGCATAAAATAAAACCAATAATTATATACAGAAATGAAAACAATATTAAATTTTTGTAAGTTATCAGATAATGATAATGACATACTGGAGACTTAAATAGAATTATGTATAAAGTGAAAATAAAGAGCATAAAATGAAAAAAAAAAAAAAAAAGGACATTAATAGGGTATGCGATCCCTCTCATCTGTATACAAAGTTTACTTCTTGTGACCATGCTTTCAAATAGGTGGTCAACCACCGCAGAATTAAGCAATTGCCATTCTTCTTGTAGAGCAGTTTCCAGCTCAATAAAAGTGGCTGGACGTGGGAAACGTGAACATACGGCCGAGAGCATCCCAAAGATTTTCAAAGGGATTAAGGTCGGGCGAATATGCTGGCCACGCCATACGCACAATCCCTTCACTCTCCAGGTAGTCATCAACGATGTCAGCTCTATGGGGACGTGCATTATCGTCCATTAAAACAAAAGTAGGGCCAACTGCTGCAGCATACAATCTCACAACAACGGGTTCTAGGACTTCATCTCAATACTGGACAACCGTCAAAGAGCCTAGTTTAAAGATGTGCAGGCCAGTGCGGTATCCTAATCAAATCCCTGCCCACACCATAATGCTTGTGCCTCGGAATGCGTGATGTTTGGTGATGTTTTGGGACTGATTGCGTGTTCATTGTTTGCGCCATATCCTTATACGCTTGTCATCTGGCTCCAGAACAAATCTTGAATCATCAGTAAACATGGCATTGCCCCAGTCAGACACATTCCAATTGACTTGTTCCCGGCACCACTGTAACCGTGCCCCTCTTGATTGGATGGATAGAGGAACACAAACTCAAGGCACCCGGATGTACAATCCACTCATATGTAATCTTCGGTGTACAGTAGCTGCAGATGTCGCCTTACCAATGGACGCTGTAACCACAGATGCCACACATGTGGAGATCACTGTGCAATTTTGCTTGGCTACAATAGCAATATATCGATCTTCCATGGGGGCTGTAACCCTTGGTCGACCGGCTACGGGTCTTTGGACAACTGTCTGTGTGGTTTGGAATTGTTTCCATAAACATGAAAGTACAGAATGATGAACGCTGAAGAAAAGAGCAACATTTGTGATGGACTATCCTGCTTCAATGCGCCCCACAGCACGCCAGCACTCACAATCTCCCATTCGTCTTCTGTCATAGAAACACCTATGTCTTGAAAACAAATTGTATGAAAATTTTAAACACCTATCAGCATTTACAATCAACTTCTAGAACCCTTCATAAAGCTGGATTCTTATACGACTGCCTTTTTTGCATATTTCTTGACATGAAAGCGCAATTGGCTGTTACCTAATATATTTGCATACTTCCATCTATCTCTGCAGCGAATTGCATCCTCTTCAATTCTGATTGGCTTCCGGAAATTAGCATTTTCCTCTCAGTGCTTAACTTTTGGAAGTGAGTGTATTTATCTTAATCACAGCTTAAAATTTAAGAATGTAATATTCTAATATACATTTAAAATGGCAATTTAAATTTCTTAGGCTTATCTTTTATTTGAACTTCACACTAACACTAACTTTGATCTATTTATAACACTTTTAACCAAGAATAACCATATTTGTTACTCAGCATTTATTCCTAAATATTGGGGAATGATGAAGCACTGTACAGCCTTGTTGCTTTAAAATGCATCTCAGATTGGTCTTTTTAAGTATTGAAACTGGCTACTGCAGATTTAGCAAGACCAAGGCTAGATTAAACAATAAGCAAAATAAGCATGTGCTTAGGGTATCAAGGAAAGGAGGCACCACAAAAAATTTCAATCGCAGACTTTTCACAGAATGCTGCAGCTAAAACAAGACTGAGAGTGAAGAAGTGGTAGGGAAAAGAGGCACAAAGGTATGTAGTGGCACCAAAATCTTTTAAGCGCTTAGGTTTTCTAAAAGTCTTAATTCCGTCCTGAGCTATGCAGATAAAAGTATAAAATAAAAAAGAGTATTTTCAACTAACTATAGAAGCAATGCATATTTTTATTTCCTTAATTTTCAGCTCATAATATATAAAAATATAAAAAAATGCAGATTTTTTAAGATTTGTACAGTAAATTCTTCCTAAACATGGGAGTTACACCACACAGGGAAAAATAACATTTCACAAAGTAACTTTTAATGGAAAAGTGTTAGGTATAACTCAAATTAAGAAGGTATAGATAATTTATATAAATCTAAATATTGTTGCAATTAAATGGAAAAAAATGTTACTAAAAGGATTTCTATTAATGCTAGTAAGTACAATTATTTGTTAAAAAGCTGGTGATTTTTGTTTAGGACCATGACTTATACAAATTAAATTTCATAATTTAGGAGCACAGAGTTTTTCAATGCCTCTAATTAGGTGCCCTCTGGTTTCTTCATTTGGGTCAATATCTATAGTAAAATCAGACAGTTCATGTGCCCTTTTTCAATGAATCATTTAACTTTTTGTAAGTTAAAGGCATATTTTCTTTTTCATTATCACTGCTTTCATTATCAACTGGTGTTACAGGATCATCCAATTCTTCACTCATCAATTCTTGATTAATTCTTTGACTTCTCTTTCTTCCACTTCTGAAAACCCTTTGTCACCAATTATTTTTGCATTATGTATGATTTCTTTGGTTTTACTTTCAGTCAATTGAAATCCTTAAAAATTGCTAAAACCTTTTAGCCAAAGCTGATGAAGGCAAGCATAAAATGTTGACAAATGAATGTTGAACCAACCATACATGAATAAAATTCTAGTATTGGGCAGATTAAATGGAAACAATTCAGATAACGTATATATGTGATATTGCGTTTCACAAATCCATTCTTGATAAGGGTTTACCGTATTTTGGTAAGAATCTTTTGAAATCTAGTATTTTTAACACTATTAAGAGCCTATAAGTAATAAAATATAAATAAAATATAAAAAATATAAAACCATAGATAAAATAAAATATAAAATTTAGGTAAAAGCTTGTCTCTGACTTAATAATGTAACAGGGCTGAGATATAACCATGTTATCTAATATGATAAACTAGACATATATTGCTAAACTATCTGAATGCTGCTCCTGTGATAGAAGAAATTTTTGCTTTTAAGTTTTATATAGTTAAATTTATTAAAAAATTTGCCTTACATACATTTAGAAAAGCTGATTTTGTTTGGAAATGTCTTTCTTTTTTTTTTTTTTTTTCATTGACTTTTTTTCTCTTTTTCTGTGCAGGCCAAGTTTAGCTGCAAGTATTACTTTAAAAAATAAGTGTTTCTATTCAAAAGTTACTACACCTGTTTAAAATTAAGAAAATTTGCACATTACGTCGAATTTCTGAAAAACTAATGGACAGACTTTTAATGAAATTTGGTATGAATATACATTTATAACAGATTAAAGCCATTCAAATGTCATTTTACATACGCATGATTATCAGTAAAGCTCATAGTGCAGGGATGCCCCAAATCCATATTGTGATATTGAACTGAAAATGAATTTAATATGGGTTATGGCCCCCTCTCACAGGCAAACAGTTAATATAGTGTGATGGCATACTGCACAGAAAGCAGCTGTGGAGTCCCTGTGGCACTTAATCCCATTACAGCAAGGCAGTTTTCAACCCTGGGATGGTTTTCGAAGGGAAATGATGAGATGAAATTGCCCTGCCAAGAGCGTCTCAAACACGTTCTATATGGTTAACCCTCTCGCTGCGCATCCCGTGATTTCCACAAGCAACGTAAAAGTAGCAAAATTTGCACAACCCGCAATTTCCGCGGGGATGAAGTTTTGCCATCTATTTAACTGTGCAACCCGCTCTTTCCCCGTTCAAAGTTTCCTTTTGGCTTTTCTGTGATTTTTAATTGTTTATTTAGATGTGGGCTAATAGATAGCATTAGTTGTCAACATTTCTGCCAAATATACAAGAATACGTGATGTAGCAGTTCATGCGCTTTTCAGAGCTCAAAGATGTCTGGCAGGAAGCGTTTTGCAAGTGATATAACCTATATTCCTGACAATATTTCCAACACTGATAGTAGTTCTAACTCTGATTTCAAGTATATTGAAGACAGTTATAGCAAAACTGATGAGAATTTCTCGGATTCCTCTGCAGATAGTGAAGAATCTGAAAATTCAGTTTATATTGAAAATGTTCGACAGTGGTGCAAAATTGATATGCAAAATATTACATTATGAAAATACTTTCATTAGTATATATGTTTTACCTATGTATTTTATAAAATAAATCATAATTTAACCAATATTAATTTCCAAAATTTTCCTTTTATATCATTATTCTTCAATTTCAGTATTTTGACAATCTTTTACTATGATCTAATTCTATATTAAAAAAAAACCTCTTTTACAAAAAATTTTTGTAAATTTTAACTCTAAAATATATGTAGATTTGAAATATGTAATAAAAAATGCACATTTTTCTAACCTATTTTGATAAAAAAAAGTATGCAGTGAGAGGGTTAAGGTCAGAAGATCTAGCTGGCCACTCCATCCTCACTTTACAGTGATCATCGACCAGCTCAGCCCTAAGTGGGCGAGTGTTGCTGTTTATTAACAGGACCAACTGCACCCCTGAAAAATTGAACATAATGCTCTAAGAATTCCTCTCTATATCTCATAGCAGTCAGGAAGCCTTTGTCAAATACAGCAGGGGGTGTGCAGTTGTTTAACATAATGCCTGCACAAATCATTACACCTCCACTACCGTAATGATCCCTTTCTCTGATGAGGGAAGATGGTATCATGTTCCAAGCTACAGTATGCTGATACAAGTATGCTGAGAATTAGTGTCCAGGCTGAATCTCAACTTATCTGTAGAAAGAACAGTGCTCCACAGAAAATGTTAAACACGCTCTTGTTTGTACTGCAATGAGTGAGATGGAAACTACAGGTCTTCTGGCATACAGCCCTAGCTCATAAACCGTTGGTCAACAGTAGACCATGAAACTCAAGTTCTAGAGGCAGCATACAACTCAGATGAGAGCAGTGAAGCTAGAGCAATCCTACTCTGCTGCACGGAAAGTGCCAAATAATGATTTTTATTTGTCATTGTGGATCTTCTTTGAACTTGTCCAGGTCTTTTCGATATGGATCCAGTGTCTTGAAATTGTATCCACAAATTACAGATGACACTGGGTTTTACATTGAGCTCTGTAGCACTTGTGATTGGCCTACTTCCAATCTATCAATCTCCATCTCATTCAGTTATCCATAAATTCATGACTACTCATGTTACCTGATACATTAATAATACTTTCCTGACTCTCGCAAGAAACTTGATTAATGTTGTTAAAGAGCATACAAATCTCTGCCTTGTGTGCTTATACAACATTTACAATCACAGTTCCACAGACATGTACAAATAAGTTTATGTATTCTACTCTGAATATTTGCATAATTTCTCAACAGCATAATTAATATCTTAGTTACACGCTTTTTATAAAAATAGGCATAATTTGCCCAGTTCTCTTAATTTTGCACTCGAGCGAATATTCCAATTCCTATCAAGTCTTCTATTCTGTTACATTGCTGTTTTTAACTCATACCAATAGCCTTTAGACAGCCTATATAAATTTCATTTTTTAGACTTCTTTGTGCATAACATTCTTACAATCTGAAGATTTTAGATAGATCTTTTACAAAATGGATTTATTTCATTACACTAAAAAAGAATTTGTATAAGATGCCACAGGTTTTCTTTGAAATTGGTTTCCTAGTTAACAGAAAACAATGCTAACAGATTGTAAATTGATTTAATAAGATTTCCTGATCTCTGCATATGTGTGTAAAAAAGAACACAGTAAAAGGAAGTGATTAATATTAAAGAACTCAGGAAATTTACACCTTTGCAAAATATGTACTGATATCTGAAAACCAACTTACAGCCTTTTTTCTACTCATAACAGTTTAACATAACAAAACTAATCATTCTCATTTTTTTTTTTTTTTTTTTAAGATGGGTGTACAATCAACTGTTTTTTCAAGGACTGGATTATTTAATTACAGCATAGCACTCAAAACTGTCTCCCTAAGTAGAGATATGCTTTCTTAAAAGCTCTCTATTGTAAATTCGCTCATTATAGAAGGTACTATATAAAGTGTATGTGATGAGATGTACTATACAAACTGTATATAGAATAAAAGGAGTTATTTTATGAATTTTTCGAAGATGAGAAAAAGTGTGAAGAAATAATTTCACATTTTATCTGCAAACAACTTCAATACATTTCATGCAACTGTTATATAAGGTCATAAAGTCATCTTATCACATAACACATTTTTCTGTATACAACATTTTATGCTATTTTTGCATGGTATATCCTCTTATTACAGTAGGGGGAAAAGGAGAAAGAAACTTTAATCAACTATTTTAAGTCAGACATCAATTTTTCACAAAATACTAAAAATCTCACTTTAGTTCCCTTTCTAAAAAGCTTTTTGTCTCCGTCAGGTGATATTCGTCGTAAAGGAGGATGTGAAGGCACTTTGGGCTCTGGCACCACAGCTTGAACAGGACGTACTGGCTTGACTGCAAGTTTCTCTAGACTAGATTTTCGTTTTTCACATACAGTCTGCATGTCTTCAAGTCGTTTTAAAACCTGTAAATCACAAAACATTTAGTAAACACTAAATGAAATAACAAACGATATATTTAACAATATTGAAACTTAATGTAGTAGTGATAAATACAAAATATATAGTAACATATCAGTGATAAGTAACTCACGGCCATTCAAGATATTGCATAACTCAGTATATTAATGATTTACTTACATCCTATGTATGCAAGAGGTTTTCTTCATCCTCTAGCATGCTTTAAAAAATCAATAAGCCATGAATTTTAACAAATAATTTAACTGAAAATGCATGGTAAGGCAGCGGCATATTATGAACATATGTGTGGGTGTATGCAATATGAAATACCCCTTAAAGGCTCCTTTCAACATTTTTTGCCCCTTTCTATCTTAAAAATAATAAAATGCTTATAATCAATATTTCCATTTAAAAAATAATCCCTGGCAAGCAATTCTTATACAACACTCATAATGAATATACTTATATAATGACAATTGATCTTTTAGCCAATTGCTACATTTTGCAAACCAAAACCTTAAAATAACCATCAGAAATAAAGTGGATCGATAACTTCACTAAAATACATATTGCAATCTGCTGCTTCTCTTTCTTACTTTAAATACGTTATTATAAACATGTGAAAAGTATAAACGTAATTATTGAAAAATGGGTGCCATTTTTTCCCAAATGAACTGTGTGTTTTTTGCTCAAGAAACTATTTTTGGGGAAGGTTCAAGAATAAATAAGTAGTCGACTAACCATGACTGCAGCTAGATATGTATGCAACACCTTTATTACTACATTATGTCACCACATCTAAATTGTCATTACATATATATAAATTACATATATATATAAAATCACGTAGCAATGAAATTTGAAATTTGCCTACAGGTGTTCCTCAACTCTAATTTTAAAAATAAAAAAGCTTACTGACAATATTTCTTCTTTTATTATATTGCACATTTTAATCAATATTTTAAAAATCCCCACTGGAATGCAATGGGCCAAGTCAAGAAAGATGAGTATAAAAAAATTGTACTATTGAATTATCCGAACAACAACAAGAATTACTGGACAAAGCACTAGGTCGTCGAAGTAAGCAACCCAGAATTTTACGAAAATGTATTTTATCTGACAGCCCACTAATGGTTACTTACACAGTTTTGGAATGTAAGTTTTGTTTGTGGTTTGTGCTTGTGTGGATTTTTTTTTTTTTTTTTTTTTTTTTTAGTAAGGAATCGTAATGGAACTGTGGAGTTTGCCTACTAATTACAAAGAAAGTGTAGCATTTTTTCAGAAATAAGGCATTTTGCCTAACATTAGAGTGTACAAATGTATACCCCATAAAGCAACATCTTACAAACTATCGAACAATATGGAGATACACTCTTAAAAACTACCAGCAAAGACGACACATTTGACAGAATACGACACATTTGACTAGCATTATTTATCTCTGATATAGATTATAGAAATCTTGCAACTCAAAATTAGTTGACGAGATGATTCTGATAATAGTTTTTTCTGAACAAGTGCAATTCTAATGTTTTTTAAGTTGAAACTGGTCACTGTGTATATGGAGAGCAGTGGAAAGTTGCTCTACAATGCTGAGAATTAGACAAGTCTCTGATTTTTTTTTTTTTAAAGTTAAAATACATCCCTGTTATGAAGGAAACAGAAAGTTAAATGTTTTACTATGGATGTTCTTTTTTTAAAATTTAATTAATTTGTTGCTGTTTTATGAAATTTTGAGTCTTTCATTATGGATCTTTGTTTTATGTAATTTGTATTGTTTCATGACAGATCCTTCTCGCATTTTTGATTCAGTTTATTCATTGCTATTTCATGTAAATTTCACGCCATCACTTTTTTAAAATGGCTATTGCTTTTTGCATATTACGTTGGCGAAAAATTAGTCACTGACAATTGACGACTTTGTGGAAAGGTTAGGTAGATAATGCAAGAATACCCTCTAAAAAATAATAAATAAATACATTTTCAATATATATAGTCTAAATTTATAGATAGAATGAAATGTGGATATAATAAACACACTATAAAGAATTATTTTTCTGAAAATATGAGACTTCTGTAAAGAATTTTTAAGGAAATTTGGCTTTTGTTCCCATAAAACATGAGGGAAAACTATGAACATCTTATGCAGTCAAACAGTTCAATAACTGGGAACTGAACCTGAAATCAGCTATCAGTATTTAAAATGAAATGAGGCAGACAGAGCACATAAAAATCAATTTTCAATATCTCGATCAAGAACAAAGAAGCTGTAAATTTTAAAAAAATGTATTCTATCTAGTGTTTTACTATCAAGTTTCAAAACAGTACATAAATATTCACAGGCTCTCAAATTCAACATACCTCTTAAAATGAACCAGGCATAGAACGGTACTAATTTTAGTGAAATCCTCTATGTAGTTTAAGAAAAGTGTAACTTAAGTCTCTGCTTTTCAAGAAGCAAAAATACTCAACTTTTATGTCATATCTCATTCATCGCTTTAAATGATGAAATTTGGCATATTATGATGAATAGTTTTACTGCTTAAAGAGACCAATGCCAAGTTCCCTCAAAAATTCATACAGCATTCCTCTAAAATGAACACTTCTTCAAGACTGTAGGATGTACAGGATCATTTAAAGCCTCATATTGGCATGCTTTACGCAGACTTAACATTTCTTTTATTCATCAATTTCTAGTATTGAATAAATATACAAATGAAAGTTATTCAGAAAACTCATCAAAACATAATAATAATAAAAAAAGATAATTACTACTGCAACAGTGATATCAATTTTTTTGTACATTTCATAGAAGGTTCAGATCTTAAATACATGTTAAACAATGCCAATATAAAACTACAACAAACTACTAAGGGAATGGTAGGTGCAAATTACTACCTAGGTTTACGAGGCTCAAAGATCCCCAGATTACAGGAAGCTTCCATATCATACTACAGTTTTATAAAAACCTGTCCCCCCCCCTTATAAACATCAGGAAAAAGGACATTTTGGGCTCCAAGAAAGAATACTATGTTTAAGGTCTTAACACAATTTGACTGCAATTTCACTCATTTATCTCATGTCACCTGCTATTATTTCGTGATGTGCATGTGCAAATGAAACAATATAAATTAACTTCTTTATAATGGTTTAATTAATATAAATCAACTTTATTTAATATTTCTTTTTTGTTACGATAAACAAACTATTTTTAACTGGTCAAAGATTCGCTAATTTGGCACAAGATGGAAGGAGGATGGACTTGACTAATTCGTACACCAGTATTGTCAAGTATATTATACAAAAGAATAGATGAATATAGTGATAAAAAAAAAAAAAATTGATTAAAAGGACTAAAATCTCACTTTTCAAGAAACACTTTTTAATACAAAATGATAATTGATTAATCAAATGTTAAAATAATCAGCTAAATATAAATATGCACTCTCTTAAATAACAGATGCTTTACCTGTTGTACAAGAGCTCGCGTCTCAGGAGAAATTGCAACTTCAAAAATTGAATGATTTTTTAATTCCTCACTGATCTGTAAGTCATAACCTTTTTGAAGAAAATCTTCAACATTTTTTAAAGCTCTTGCAGCAAATTCGTAACATGTACATTTCTCAATCTGATGGGAGGCTAGCAGTTCTACACCTTCAGCACACCACATGTTTGCCTAGAAAGAATTGCATAATTTTTGCTGTCATTTAAAGTTACACTTTATCTTTTTAATATCAATATAAAAAGGTTTATATTCACAAAAAAAAATAAAAATACAGCTCAGCAGTATAAGGGGAAAGCATAAATTGCATTAATAAAAAAAGAGGGGCATAAGAAGTTTCAGTATACAGTACAAAGTTTGAAAACCAAACATCCAATATTTGGCCATCTGAACCAGCATCCAAAAATTATTAAATAATTAATTAAATAAAAAGAATTCTCTTCCCCTTTATAAATCTTGGAATGGAGAATATAATACTCAATGAAGGAAAGCAAGTGTGCCATAAATTTCACTTTTATCTGGACTAACTGAGATTCCTGCATGAAACTTTCAAACACCTGCTGGCTGAGTGCCGCCTGAGATAACCACTCACCTGACTTTATTGTCTTACAGTGTTAATAGTCATCCTGGCAGAATGGAATATTTCCTCCGTGTAAAAATATAAATATAAATATTCCATTGGCATACAAGGCCTGTGTATAAGCTAGATATGTTGTTTGAAAACATGTCTTGTACAAGTTACATGTGAAGTTACAAAATCATGACAGTTGTTTACATAACATTATCTGAATTCATATTTACAATACTTTTACTGAGATAATCAAAATAAACTTGTAATTCATTTACACATACACCTGCTGGCTGGGGAATTGCATTGTAGCCAATAAAAATACAATGATTGATGTTGTATGATGTTGGCCAGAATTACATTTTCAGCCCTTAAATGGCTGTGGGGGAAGGGCAATACTAGCACTAAGCATTTTTCAACCTGCTGCAATCTCTCTGGGCCCTAAATTCTGCTGTCTGATAGTCTATAAATTCTGAATATTTTGGCGTATATACACAGATATGTAGCTTGCACACAAATAAGATGTGTCACAGTAGATAGCATGAAACTGTTCCATAGTAAATGGAAAAGCACAACTAGCTTGATGGTTAAAATATAATTTTTATTTCTAGATGATGAATTTCATTGCATACATCTTTTTAATCAGTACTAGGGGTGGTATAAGTGCCCTACAATTTTATATAAGTGGCATCATATTTTTAAAACAATTTATGAAGAGATCCAATCAGTTAATCATGTGCTTGCAAAGCAACATCAGAGAAGAAAATACGAGGGCTATCCAGAAAGTAGATTACGTTTCCGTCTGTGTCCGCTAGGGGCGGGGCTAGCGGCGGCCATCTTGGGGTCAGAGCGTTGCGCAGCTCAGTCTGCATCTAGCCGTGCTAGTGAGAGGTTCGTGCTGTGCTCCGTTCAGATACTGTGACGGTTTGAAAATGTCTGCGTTAATTTTGGGAAAATCCCGCGAGCTGCGGGTGCGCTCGTAATAAGGTTTCTGACTGCAAAAAACTGTTAAACGATAAGAATCTATCGGCAGCTTCGTGAAGTGTATGGGGACAACATTATCACTGAAGGTGGAGTGCGTCAGTGGGTCATAAGATTTCAAAATAGCCGAACCAATGTTCACGACGAAGATCGAAGTGGGAGACCCAGCATAGTGACCGCCGAACTTCTCGAAAAAAGTCGATGCTAAAGTCCGTGAAAATCGAAATTTCACAATGACGGAACTTTCTTTGAGTTTTCCACAAATTTCGCGAAGTTTTGTTGCACGAAATCATCAGCGAAAAGCTTGGTTACCACAAGTTTTGTGCAAGATGGATTCCAAGAGATGCAAGAAGAGGTAAACGAAGGGTTGAAGGCGCAGGCGGCCGAAGTTTTCGACGAAGGAATTTCCAAGCTCGTACATCGCTACGATGCCTTAATTTGTATGGTGACTATGTAAAAAGTAGTATTTGAGTGTGGGCTTTCATCTGTATATAATAAAATTGTTTTCTATACTTTGTTTATTTTTTATTTCCAAACCGTAATCTACTTTCTGGATAGCCCTCGTATTATGTATTAAGAGGCAGAGCCTGTAAATAAACTCGAAAATTGTTTGTTTGAATTTTAAATGATGACTGTCCTTCACACTGCAGTTATTGCATCAAAAGAATGACATCAGTGACACAGTATATATGCTTTGAAGATGCTGTATTTAAATTAAAATTAGGAATCTATTGTCAATTAAATTAGTAATTTGATAATAATTTTCCTTTATATTTTTATATGTCACACATACACATATATAAAATCACTGTTTAAAAGAAGAAAATAAATCAAACTTCATTATAGCATAACATGTAGCACACACTGCTGATAAGTAGATTCATAATAAAGTATCTTTTTAAGTACATGAAAGAGGAAAAATAAATTTTATCATTTTATAAATGATATAAAAATCTAATAAGCATTTCTACATAATCAATTTAAAATTATGTAAATAATTAATTGATATAAATTTGTATATATAATAATATATAATGCAAAATTATTATATGTTAAATGGAATGCAGAAATTTTAATAAGTTTTAAATTAACATAACTATGTTAATCATAGAATAATAGAAACAATAAAACGCTTATTTTCAGTAGAAAAAAATCAGAGAATAGCTCAGCTGTATCTGAACTCACAATTTGGCCTGCTAATTTCTGGACACCTAACTTCGCCAGATTTTAACCTGATAGAGCTTCTCAGATGTAAGTCATTGAGCAGCAGCTCAGAGCTCAAACAGCACAATGTCAGAATATCTCAACTTCGTGTGACCACTGCTATACATTTGGTACAACCTGTCTCTAGCCACCTATCAAGAACATGTGGGATCCATTCCAAGGTGAGTTGCAGCTGTTTTGCAGGCCAAAGGTCATGCCTTATTGAAGAGGTGGTCATAATGTTTTGGCTTTTCCATGTATTTAACACACATCATATTCATATATTGTGCATGTAACATCATTAGATTCAAATGAAAAAAAATATTAGTTGGAGAAAAGCGGAATGAAAAATGAACATACAAGGAAATGATAGTGAATTCAAGAGTCCTATACCAACTAGACTACCAATAAGATACCCACAATATCTTCTTTAAAAATTCTAAAAAGGAAAGAATATAATTCTATATGAATATCTAACAGGTTTAAGGAAGGCTATAATTCAAACATTACTTGTTAGACCATACAAGAATGAACTGTATTTTATCAATCATGCTGTAAAAGATTAAAATTAGAAGAAATATAATCATAAATAAATAAAAGAAAATACATACTTTTCATAACTAAATGATTCATTCTATGACTGATGATTTTAGAAAGCACAGTTTCAAGAGTATTATATCTAAGATTTTTCAAATTGCTCATTTTTTTGCTATAATAAATTTTGTTATGTGAAGATTTTTTTCACTCACAGTTGAAAAAGACAGTACTTTTTTTTTTACCTTCAGAGCTAAGGTACTGCATGCAGCACTTCATTTCATGTCTGATGCCAATTATTGTTTTTTATAGACTAAATACTATTTCTTTGTTTAAATGAATTTTGTAACTTCACAAAAATATACTTGCACTTTTTTCCCTTTTAATTAATGGCATGCACATTTTTAGAATATTATGTTGCAAAGTGATCTAAATAAAAGGTAACATGCAAGTATACTATTTCAATTCATAGAAAATATAGTGGTTAGTAATAAAAATGCTGTTAGTTTGAATAAAATTAAAATAAGTACAAAATTTATACTTAACAACTATTATTATTTTGCATACATGCTGCATTATACCATACTGCCATAGTAAAATATTATTACAACTGCTTTTCTGTTTATCAAACAATTTTTATTAATTTGGCATACATTCAGATCACTGAAGCATTTAAAAATATGGCAAAAGTATGGCACAGTTAAGTACATGCTGGTAAGACACTACTGATTAAATGTTA